GTCTCACACAAGAGTGGCCAACCAGTTCCTCTGGAGGTCCAACAACAGGGCACAGAGACCGAAGCCTTCATGAGAACATCAGAAGAGCCCTGCTGGATCAGACCAGTGAGGGTTCATCTAGTCCAGCATCCTGTCTCACACAGTGGCCAACCAGTTCCTCTGGAGGGCCAACAACAGGGCATAGAAGCCAAGGCTTTCATAAGAACATCAGAAGAGCCCTGCTGGATCAGACCAGTGGTCCATCTAGTCCAGCATCCCATCTCACATAGTGGCCAGCCAGTTCCTCTGGAGGGCCGGCAACAGGGCAGAGAGGCCGAGGCCTTCATTAGAACATCAGAAGAGCCCTGCTGGATCAGACTAGTGAAGGTCCATCTAGTCCAGCATCCCATCTCACACAGTGGCTAGCCAGTTCCTCTGGAGGGCGAACAACAGGGCATAGAGGCTGAGGCCTTCATAAGAACACCAGAAGAGCCCTGCTGGATCAAACCAGAGGTCCATCTAGTCCAGCATCCCGTCTCACACAGTGGCCAACCATTTCCTCTGGAGGGCCGGCAACTGGGCAGAGAGGCCGAGGCCTTCATTAGAACATCTTTCTATTCTGTCGTTAAAATGCATTTTCAGTTGTTCAAACGTTTTATGCGTTTGCCCCCTTGGGGACTCCAATCAGGTGGAAAAGACGCATCAAAACACTTTAAATAAATATGCCGCCTGGTCAGTGTTCCCGAGCTTCCCCTAGGCCAGGATGATCTGGAGGGGGAACACTTGAGTGCCGCTCTACGTGTGTCCCTTACGAGAGGCTACAAGCCCGGTTTGTTGTGTATGCCAACCCCCCCCCCCCGCTCCAACCATAGAGTTGGAAGGGGGCCATACAGACCATCTAGTCCAACCCCCTGCCCAATGCAGGACCAGCCTAGAGCATCCCTGACCAATATTCCTCCAGCCTCTTGTTTGGTGTAGTGGTTAAGTGCGCGGACTCCAATCTGGGAGAACCAGGTTTGATTCCCCACTCCTTCACTTTGCACCTGGCTGGATGACCTGGGGCAAGCCGTAGTTCTGATAAGAGCTGTTCTTGAAAAAAGAGCAGTTTCTGTCAAGAGTTCTCTCAGCCCCACCTGCCTCACAGGGCGTCTGTTGTGGGGAGGGGAAGGGAAAGGAGTTTGTTAGCCGCTCTGAGACACCTTTGGGTAGTGAAAGGCGGGGTATAAATCCAATCTCTTCTTCTTCTTCTCTTCTTGAAAGCTGTCAGTGAAGGGGAGCCAACCCCCCCCCCCAGGCAGCTGATAATAAGCAATATATTCCTTCCGAGAAGAAAGATCCGTCTCCTGGGAGCAGATGGCCAGATGAGCGGGGCTGCGTGTTCGGAGGGAGATGAGATCTGGCCGGCCACAGATGCTTCTACGGCTTTGAGCTTGGTCATTGTGAAAACGTCCAGCCATCTGTTCGTCAGGCCAGCAAAGCCTCTCTCTCTCCCTCTCTCCAGATAATGCACTCTTGGAATCCCCGCCTGCTGAATGGGCGAGGGGCCTCCCCGCCCCCCCCCCGTAATACGCATGACCCGTATCCAGCTGCAGAACAATCGCCCTGCATCTAAGAATACCTGGCGTGATAGGGAGGGGGGGTTCACGCTCCACAGAACCTGTGGCCGTGCCCCCCTTTTGTGTCCGAGACAATCTCCCGACTTGCCTTCTGGGGCCACCGTTTTTGAGGCGGCCTGACCTCTGACCTCCTCGGGCCGCTTTTCACAAAGAGGCTCTTCTTATACGTCGGGTATGGTAATGAGGGGGAGTGCGTGGGTGTACGCAAGGGGGTCCGGCCGGCGAGGGCCGTGGGGGGGCGGCAGCATCCAGATACAGTGGGGAGGCTCTTAATCTGAGTGGCCCGGAGTGGAGGCACTCGCCCCCAAAAAGCGGTGTCACCACCAGTGCAGGAGCCGGACCGCACCAGAACCGTTGGGTCATCAGAACTGAAACGGAGGTTTGCCAGGTGCTCGGCTTTTCATGCGATTGAGGGAGGTTTCCCCAAAATTACTCCGGGTGTCCTTTTAGATCTGTTTCTTGTGGGGGCCGGCAAAGGGGTGGAGCATCTTTGCAACAACCGTGCTTGTTGGCAGGATTTTCTCCTCTCCTGTTAGTCTTCAGACTTCCGTAGCCATAGTGAGCGTTTATCAGAACAAAGTCTGAGTCCAGTAGCAACCAAGTTTAATTCTGGGTAGAAGCTTTCGTGTGCAGAATTGAACATTGTTGGTCTTTTTCGTCTTCTTTTTTTCAAATTTTATTGAGTTTATTACAACATATATACAAAAGAAGATCACATCAGTATCATGCACCCTTGTGATAAATAAAATATGGGACACATCAGATGCATAGAACGTCATACAAAAATACTTCTCTGTTACGTTGCATTAGAGAAAGGGATAGAATTATAGCAACCCTGGGCTTCCTGGGCGGTCTCCCTCCAAGCACTAACCGGAGCCGACCCTGCGTAGCTTCCGAGATCTGATGAGATCTGATGTATTGACTATTCTGGCACGCAGCAGCCTTCACGTCGGAGAGGCGTGTACTGCTCTTCTGCGTGGGCTTGGGCATTTCTCTGCCGGATGATGCAGAAAGCTCAAAACGGGGGTTTTAGACAGTGGCGTGACCTCACGCAGTTCCCACAGCTACGCTAGTAGACTGATGGCATTTCCACTGCAATCCGAACGAACGGTATTAAACGTTTATATTACGATACGGGGCTCTTTGTCGAGCGTTCAGGGCCTCCGGCATCAAATCTGAGTGCAACTGACTTTCTCTGTACCTCTTTCATACCGAGAGACGTGAACGTCCAGTTCCGCTGTCGTGCAAACCGAAAGCATTTTTGCAGCTGGGGATTTGTGAATGATGGGGAGGGGGGTTGGACCTCCCAAAGGGACGGGGATGCCCTTTCGTATTGATGATCGGTTAGAGCTGCTTCAGTGCCTTCTTGAAAGTGAACCAGCTGTTATCGCTCGGCCTGTTGGACGGGGGGGGGGGGATGGGACGTCCCTGCGGCTCCCTGATCCTTTTTTTAAACCAAAGCATTCTGAGCTGAAAGGCAGATGTACAGCCAGAGGAAATGTGAGTTTTCTTGTCTTTGAGTGCTAAGAACATAAGAGATGCCAACGTTGGGTCAGGTCAATGGCCCATCCAGTCCAACATTCTGTGTCACACAGTGGCCAGAAATACCAGGTGCCACCAGGAGGTCCAGCAGTGGGGCCAGGACACTAGAAGCCCTCCCACTGTTGCCCCCCCAAGCACCAAGAAGACAGAGCATCCCTTGCCCCAGACATAAGAACCTAAGAGAATTCAGTGTTGGATCAGGCCAGTGGCCCATCCAGTCCAACACTCTGTGTCACACAGTGGCTAAAAACACCAGGTGCCATCAGGAGGTCCAGCAGTGGGGCCAGGACACTAGGAGCCCTCCCACTGTGTCCTCCCCCAGGCACCAAGAAGACAGAGCATCCCTTTCCCCAACCTGAGAGTTCCTATCTATACCTTGTGGTTCATTCCACCCCCCCACCCCCGTGTCCTAGTGATTCATTGGTGTCCTCCTCCACCGCAAGTCTGTATGGCGGAGGTCCCACTCACACCTTTGCTGGTGACCACCCAATGGGTTTATAAAGTGGGCGGGGCCAGGTGGAGCTTTGACTTCATTTTGACACCACGTCCTCCCCAAAGGGGACCCAGAGCGGCTTACACCAGTCTCTTCTCCTCTGTTGTGTCCTCACAACAACCCTGTGAGGTTGGTTAGGCTGTGACTGGCCCCAGGTCACCCAGCAAGCTGCCAGGGTAGAATGAGGGTTCGGACCTGCGTCTCCCAGATCTTAAAGGTAAAAGGTAAAGGTTTCCCTTGCTCGAAAGCCAGTCGGATCCGACACTAGGGGTGCGGTGCTCATCTCCGTTTCCAAGCTGAAGAGCCAGTGCTGTCCGAAGACGTTTCTGTGGTCATGTGACCGGCATGACTAGACGCCGAGGCGCACGGAGCGCTGTGACCTTCCCACCGAAGTGGTGCCTGTTTATCTACTTGCGATTTCTTGCTCTCGAACTGCTAGGTTGGCAGGAGCTGAAACTAGAGACGGGAGCTCACTCCATCATGCGGCACTCGGGTCTCGGAACTACCGACCTTCCGGTCTGCAGTTCAGCGTCTCAACCACTTGAGCCGCCGCAGCCCCTTCCCAGATCTTAGTCAAATGCAAATGCAAGAATCTGTTAATGGTCATGGTCATACTAAAGGGGGATTCTGTACTTATGAAATGCCAGAGTCCAACCCTCCCTCAGCCTGGCTTCATGCTCTTCCTAGTTTCTCCCCCACAACGATCGGCAGACTTTATTTTAGATCGGTATTTAAATACACACACACAGGAGCCACTGCCCGGTTGTTCTTAAGCCGCTCGCTCGCCCGCCAGCGCTTTGTTTTCCAAGCAGATCTTTTGTTGAGTGGCCCAGGGGAAGAGGATGCCACGGATTCCAAAAGTGGGCTTCAGAAACTGCTTTCAAAAACTTCGATAACAAAGATGTTTGATAATGGGGCGACACCGGGGAGGCTCGGCCGTTGTGGGAAACGAGACAAGCCAAGCTGCGTCGGAGCGTCCCTGCGGCTTGTGTTTGGCCGATCTCGGAATAGCCTTGCACACTTGGGGAGGGGGAACCACAGAGCGTCTTGTGGCACGTTGAACCGAACGCGTTTATTGCGGCGTGACCTTTGGTGGCCTGAAGCTCACTTCCTTACAGACGCTACCAAAGGGGTCGTCCCGTCTCGATTGGGTGGGGACAGAGATAAAAGAAAGGGGAGAAAATTGTGTTTTTACGATTTCATTGGGCCACGCGAGTTTCTGCCGCATAGTCATCTGTGTCGTCTTTAGGAGGCCACAAGATCCTTTTGTTGCGTGGGTTGCGGCGGACTCTGGGATTTATCTCTGAAGGTGTTCTGTGAAGGGTTGACTTCAAGAGGGGTTTTCTCTCTCTCGTTTTTTCTCCTCTTAGCCCTGGCAGTCCCAAGACAGCGAGGAGTATGAAGCAGAAGGTAAGAAGGGCTCGTGAAACGGCTTCCGTGGAGGCGGGAGGACTTGAAGCCTCTAAGGAACGCAAACTTTGAAGCGGGAGAACCGTAAATAACACACAAAGGCATTTTCCCTCCCCCCTTTTCGGCTAGATTTGAGCCCAGTAGAACTTTAGAGGCCAGCAAGATTTTCGGGTTTGAGCTTTCAAGAGTCAACGCTTGGTGTCGTGGTGAAGTGCACGGACTCTAATGTGGGAGAACTAGGTTTGATTCCCTGCTCCTCCTCTCCTTCTCCTTCTCCTTCTCCTTCTCCTTCTCCTTCTCCTTCTCCTTCTCCTTCTCCTTCTCCTTCTCCTTCTCCTTCTCCTTCTCCTTCTCCTTCTCCTTCTCCTTCTCCTTCTCCTTCTCCTTCTCCTTCTCCTTCTCCTTCTCCTTCTCCTTCTCCTTCTCCTTCTCCTTCTCCTTCTCCTTCTCCTTCTCCTTCTCCTTCTCCTTCTCCTTCTCCTTCTCCTTCTCCTTCTCCTTCTCCTTCTCCTTCTCCTTCTCCTTCTCCTTCTCCTTCTCCTTCTCCTTCTCCTTCTCCTTCTCCTTCTCCTTCTCCTTCTCCTTCTCCTTCTCCTTCTCCTTCTCCTTCTCCTTCTCCTTCTCCTTCTCCTTCTCCTTCTCCTTCTCCTTCTCCTTCTCCTTCTTCCTAGACTCTCAGAAGCTTATACCTGGGGAAATTATGTCGGTCCCTAACGTGCTCCTGGATTCGAATCTGATTCTTCTACTGCAGTCCAACAAGGCTACCCTCTGAATCTATCTTCTCCTTTTCAGAATGCTACAATTGTTCATAAAAGTAAGAGCGTCCACCAGTAGTGGCCGCACTCTACACTGACAACTGCTGTAGATTTGACACGGGCCAGGAGTTCTCATCCCCTTCTTTGCCTCTGAAAATACCCCCCTTCAAATTTCCCGTCTGCTTTTTCACCTTTACCTGTCTTTTCTTCCTTTCCCCCCTTCCTTTGTGCGCCTGTCTCTTCTGTCCCGCCCCCGCCACACACACAAACACACTCCGAACCATTTCTGTATTTTTACAGTGTGCTCTTGTGCTTGCTCTGTGACGTTTTCTGGGGCGGTCCAGCCCTGTCCGAGATTTTTTGCTGTCTCAGGTAGCTGTACCAGGATACCCCTTGGTATCCTTTGTGCCATCACAACAGATGCTGAGAGGGGGTAACCTCTGGTCATGTAACGCTCCGTGGTTCCTCCTGAGTTTCTGTCTTTTGCTTGAGGTGGGGAGAAATGGATTTGACTCAGGACCGAATTGGTTGTGATCAGGGAAGCCATGTTTTCTTTATTGACATGTCTGCTGTGTTCACATGCAGATACAGGACAGGGACGAGGAGTTAACATGTGGAATTCGCTGCCGCAGGAAGTGGCGGTGGCTACAAGCAGGGCTATTTTGGGGCAGGAACGCACAGGAACGGAGTTCCGGCTGGCTCCCAAGTTGGCCACGCCCAGCAGGAACTCATTAGCATAATAGGCCACACCCAACAGCAGAAACTCATTAGGATTGGCTACATTAGGGTTGTGTGGCCTAACATGCAAAGGAGTTCCTGCTACAAAAAAAGGCACTGGGTTTTGACATCAAACAAGGTAAACAGAATAAGAAGCAAAAGGTGGATGTGGCTGGATGACCACACTTTTGGTAACATGGGGTGTGTGGCCTAATGTGCTAATGAGCTGTGCTGTCAGGGGTGTGGCCCAATATGCTAATGAGTATCTGCTGTTGGGTGTGGCCTATTATGCTAATGAGTTCCTGCTGGGCTTTTTCTACAAAAAGAGCCCTGGCTACAAGCATAGACAGCTTCAAGGGGAGATTAGATATGGAGCAGAGGTCCATCAGAGGCTATTAGCAACAAGGCATAGATCGCCCAATCAGCCAGTTAGAAGCCTTGGTATGCAGAAGCCCGACCCGACCCCACTCACTATCTAAAAGTATTTGGTGGGCACTGGTAATGGTGGCAGCAGGCATCAAGGCGCCCGTGGGAACTAAGTTGGGGACCCCCGTTCTGTGTGCTGTGCAGTCATGCTTAGAAGAAGAAGTAGAGAAGAGATTGGATTTATACCCGGCCCTTCACTCCCTGAAGGAGTCTCAGAGCATCTTACAATCTCCTTTCCCTCCCCCTCCCCACAATGGACACCCTGAGAGGTAGGCGGGGCTGAGAGAGCTCTCGCGGGAACTGACCTTGAGAGAACAGCTCTGAGAGAACTTGTGACTGACCCGAGGTCACCCAGCCAGTTTCCTGTGGAGGAGCAGGGAATCAAACCTGCTTCTCCCAGATTAGAGTCTGTGCTCCTAACCACCGCACCGAACTGGCGCTGTGCCTGTTTTGAAGTCCTCCTTGCGAGCGACAGGGTCAGTTTTTGGTGACTCTGATTGGTTATTTTTAATTGTCTCTCCCTCCCGCCCTTGCTTTTCTTTTCAGGCCAGCTGAGATTCTGGAATCCGGATGACTTGAACGCGTCTCCGAACATCTCCCCCACTCAGGACTGGATAGAAGAGAAGCTACGTGAGGTGTGCGCGAACCTGGGCATCTCCAGAGACGCCCACCTGTGCAGAGAGAAGCTGGTCTCCATCTGTGAACAGTATGGACTGCAGAATATTGACACGCAGGTACCCATGGACACCCCCCCCCGACCCCTGGAGTCAGGCCGGGCAGTGTGACTGTTACTGCCTTATCAAAGCTGGCCTCTGGCCGGGGATTTTCTGTAGCGGCAGCTGCACAGTGAAGGAGAGGGAGGGTCTCAGAGCCCGGAGAGCAGAGTTATTAAAATAATGAAGGTGCAGGAGTGTGGCTGCTTTCTTCAGAGAAAAGGTGGAGCAGCTCTTGAGCAGTCTGTTTTCACAAATATTCACCAGGCGGGCTGCACTCTTCCCTGGTTGCAATTCCCTTGGCCAGCTGTAAAAAGGAGGACCACTTCTCCTCTCGGACAGGGGGGAGACTCTGGCGTGTCCTAAGATTTGAAAGAAGAGAAGAAGAGATTGGATGTATACCCCGCCCTTCACTCAGAGTCTCGAGCGGCTTACAAACTCCTTTCCCTCCCCCTCCCCACAACAGACACCTGGGAGGTAGGTGGGGCTGGGAGAGCTCTTGACAGAAACTGCTCTTTTTCAAGGACAGCTCTGACAGAACTATGGCTTGGCCAAGGTTATCCAGCCAGGTGCAAGTGGAGGAGTGGGGAATCAAACCCGGTTCTGCCAGATTAGAGTCTGTGCACTTAACCACTACACCAAACTGGTTCTATTTCAATATGTTTACATCCCTTGTCTCCTCTGCAGAAGTCCATATGGCAAACGGGAAGCTCTCGGGAGCTCTCCCAACCAGGGTCTATCCAGACCAAGTCTTGGTTGGCTTTTCGGGGTGTGCATTCAATAAAAACTGAGCCAAATAAGTACCCCCCCAAAATACCTTGTTGGTATTTTTTGGGTATTTATTAAACCAGATTCAGATTAGGGATAGATGAGCCCAAATAAAAGCCAACCACCCGGCTTTTATTTGGGTAGCTATACCTATACCAAAGTGGCGAAGAAGAAGAAGAGATTGGATTTATACCCTGCCCTTCACTACCCAAAGGAGTCTCAGAGCAGCTTACAAACTCCTTTCCCTTCCCCTCCCCACAACAGACACCCTGTGAGGTAGGTGGGGCTGAGAGAGCTCTTGACAGAAACGGATCATTTTCAAGAACAGCCCTTATCAGAACTATGGCTTACCCAAGGCCATCCAGCCAGGTGTGAGTGGAGGAGTGGGGAACCAAACCTGGTTCTCCCAGATTAGAGTCCGCGCACTTAACCACGACACCAAACCAAGCGAGCTCATCTGGAAGGGGTGCATTTCCAGGTGAGCTCACCGGCCGCTTTCTTCAGGTATGAGGCCTCAAGGGCAGGTAGGGGAACATCCTGACTCACAAGTGGGTTTTGGACAGACCCCTCCATATCCTCCTGAGTACCAAGAGAATCTGAAGCCACCTTGCCCTTTTCCCACATGAAAGCCATATTTTCTATTGCTGGGTTGCAGCCGAAATTCTCCTTGCCGAACTTTCGTCCCCATAGTACACTGCAAATCTCGCATTGACTTCCTGGGCCCTCTCTGAGGTGTGCTTTGCTGTTTCTCAGGTGCTGGAAGAAGTCTTCCGCAACCTTGAACATGACGGGGCGATGAGCATCGAAGACTTCTTCTATGGCTTGTTTAAAATCGGGAAGCCTCTCCCCCCGTCTGCCTCCACCCCATACAGGCAGCTCAAACGGCATCTCTCCATGCAGGTAAGGGGTCTTCGATCACCTTTTGCACCTCGCATAATTGATCAGGGCAGGACTTTTTTTTTATTTAAAGATTTTTATTGTTTTTAGACAAAGGGTTAACAGTAAAATCGAGAACAGTGTAAAATTATGCTTAAATACACACATCTTAACATATGTAAATTTTGCATATTTTCAAGTAATTATGTTCAGAACTGCTTCTTTTTAGAGCTTTGGACAACTTACATTGTAACAAACCTCAAAACTTGTTGTTGTCCTCTATCTAATATATATAAAATAAAATAATAATAATAACAATAGTAGTAGTAGTAGTAGTAGTAGTAGTAGTAGTAGTAGTAGTAGTAGTAGTAGTAGTAGTAGTAGTAGTAGTAGTAGAATATTAAAACATATATACAGTGAAGACGCTAAACAAGGAAAATAAATAACAATAATAACGGTGCAACATACATTTGAAAAACACACTACAGGAATTAAGGATAATGTTACCATATTTGTGTACAGAAGATATGTATTCATGAGCCTTCGGTTCAATAGGAAAAAAAAAAACCTTGTTAAATCCACTTATAGACTTCTGCTGACGTTCTTAACTTCATTTGCCCATATTGCCAGTCCAGTTGGCTATGGCAACTCGGGTGATTTTGTATGAATGACAGTGCCGTCATGTCAAAGGCAGCATGTCAGAGCACCTGGCTTTGGCCACTGTGTGACACATAGTGTTGGACTGGATGGACCATTGGCCTGATCCAGCATGGCTTCTCTTATGTTCTTATATCTGGGGCAGTGATGCTCTGTATTCTTGGTGGTTGGCGGGCCACCGTGGGACGGCTTCTGGAGTTCTGGCCTGGCTGGTGGACCTCCTGATGGCTGCTGGGTTTTGGCCACTGTGTGACAGAGTATTGGACTGATCTGTACAGGATTAACCCACTCAGCCCAGTCCAGGGATGCGAGGGAATCCAGTATTTCAGCACATTAAACAACAGTCCACGAGACAGTCTGTACTATCCCTGGTCTTCACAACAATTTGCCACCAGAATCTCTCTTCTCTGTGATCCCCACCCAACTTAAGAGCAGAGATTCAAATTCTCAGTTGGCATCTGGGACTTAACACATTACAACGTTAGACACAAGATTTAGCCTTGGAGTTCAAGTACAGCATCAGAAACACTTACCAATATGAATGATCTTTATTCAGTGCAAAGCATAGCAAAAGACTACTAGAGGATACTAAAAATAACAAAGCCTATGGCTATTTGCCCTTACCCATTTAAGCATAATCATAGTTACCCAATTGTTTCAATAGTCCAAACTAGTCCATGGAATAACAGCACAGGTAGGTACCAAGGGATTTTGAAGAGAAATCCCACCTTGCACAGGTCTGTAGTCTCAGTCGGTTCAGAGATACAGATCCACAGTAACAAAAAGTTGCAGCTGGCAAGCAGTCACAAAGAAACTCTTTGTTTCAAAAGTCAGGATCCCCAGGAGCAAACGAGCAAGAGATGCAAGAGAGCTCTTCCATAGGGAACCAAGGAATTATACCCCAATCCCAGTCATAATTAGCTGTGGCCATCAGCCAATCACGAGTGGCAGGGCGTGTGCCCAATTGCTGGTTGCCATGGTTGCCAACATCAGGTGTGTGAGAGGATTGGCTAGGAGTTTAGAGGCCCCGCCATCAGTCAGGTGACCCAACCTCCAGCTTCACGATTGTGTATGTGACATGCTCCATGTGAGCCTTAAAGCGGAGCCTTAAAGTCTGGCTCTCAACATAGAGGTGTTAAAGAATGTGCATGGTTATATGGCATGGCTATTAAGTGGCTCAGGCTATCTGGACTCACCATTTGGCCTGCAACAGGAAATAAAGACACAGCATGTCATCAGAATGTCATCACAGGAGAAGGGATGAGAATATAGAAAGCAATATTTCTATACATGATCCAACATGGCTTCTCTTATGTTCTTGTGTCTAAGACAGTGATGCTTTGTATTCTTGGTGCTTGGAGAGCCACAGTTAGAGGGCTTTTGGAGTTCTGGCTCTGCTAGTGGAGCTCCTGATGGCACCTGGGTTTTGGCCTCTACGTGACACAGAGTGTTAGACTGGATGGGCCATTCGCCTAATCCAACATGGCTACTCTTATGTTCCTATGTCTGGGGTAGTGATGCTCTGTATTCTTGTTGCTTGTGGGACTACAGTGGGAGGGTTTCTGGAGTTTTGGCCCTGCTGGTGGAGCTCCTCATGGCCCCTGGGTTTTGGCCATTGTGTGACACAGAGTATTGGCGTGATCCAACATGGCTTCTCTTATGTTCTTATGTCTTGGGCAGTGACAGTCTTTATTCTTGGTGCTTGGGGGGCCACAGTGGGAGGGTTTCTGGAGTTCTGGCTCCACTAGTGGACCTCCTGATGCCTGCCCCCTTTGGCCACCATTTGACACAGAGTGTTGTACTGGATGGCCTATTGGCCTGATCCAACATGGCTTCTCTTACATTCTTACGGTCAGTGTCCACAAGAAAATAACATGAACTGTCCCAGCAAATAGGTGGCATGGGTACAAGAAGGTCAAGAACGCTGAGGGCAAATGAAGCCAAGCATCGTGAGAGCAAAGAGGGAGGGGAAAGGAACCTAACAGCAGCTTCCTCTCAGAGGGTAGCCAGTCCAATCCAATAACCTTTGTTGGCATCACTATAGCTTTAAAACAGATAAAAGTACAAGTCAGCCCATATACCAACAAACAGAAGCCATCAAAGTACAGCCATTTGTTTCATTGTACATAACAGTAACAATAGGAGAAAGTAATAAAATTCGGAACAGTGATCTCAAGTAATTAAAACTGTTGCAATAAGAAACTTAACTGTCCTAAACGGAATCATAGGTACAACTTACCTCTCTCACTTATTTCTTTCTCCTAATCTCTCCGCCTCCCTTCCTCTTCCCTCTTCCCTCTTTTCTTCCCTCTTTTTCTTGGTCCCTGAGTATATCTGCCAGGAACTCTGCCACCTGCTCAGTAACTTCGGGGTTTTTGTCTGCTAGCAGGAATTCAGTACCTCTGTTGGTTGTAGCCAGGGGTCATTTCCTAGAAAAAGAGATGCAGGAGCTCATTTGCATAACTAATTTGCATATGCCACACCCCCTGACAACGGGCAGGCATGTTTAAAATGGGTTATGCAAATAAGTTTAAATTCCCCCCCCCGAGTCTCTCCGCAAAAGCAGAGAGGCTCAGGGGGAAAGGCAGTCATGTCTGGGTTCCCTGCCTGATCTTCTCCAGGTGCCCCGCGGCCACCTGGAGAAGATTGGGGAGGGAACCCAGGCATTTAAATCCCCCCTCCCTGATTGTCTCCGTGGGTGGGGCCTTGGGCTCCTTCCTGCCAGAGCGCCGCTCCAGGGGTGCTCCGGCAGGAATTGACCCCTGGTTGTAGCCTTAGAGAGTTGAAGGAGAGGGCTAGTCAGGTGTAAATGAAGCTGAGTAGACAGCAGGCAGTTTAAGAGGATGTGCTAGACAGAGTCAGGTTCTTCCTAATCCAAGCCCTATGCATTGACAGCTATATATCTAGAAGAAGAAGAAGAGAGATTAGATTTATACCCCATCCTTCACTACCCGAAGGAATCTCAGAGCGGTTTACAATCTCCTTTATTTATTACTTGCATTTATATCCTGCCCATCCCACGGGCGGGATCAGGGCGGGTAACATCGTTGAAATAAATACAATTTCAGTATAAAACATTAAAACACAATAAAACATTATAACAATTAAAACAATGGGTACTGCTTGGAGGAGCATAAATTGGCTATAAAATTGTGGCCTAATGGTACAATGGGTTAAAGGCCAGTTTTCGGTGGTCAGTAGACAGGTGATAGATGGGGGAAGGGTTGGAGGTGGGGTAGCTCTGTATGTCAGAGAGGGTATAAAGTCTAGAAAGATTGAGAGGCTAAGTGAATTGGATTCGCTTCTGGAAGTTCTATGGGTTGAAATAGGGGGGCCAAAAGGAAACTTAACACTGGGAGTTTGTTATCGCCCACCAGATCAAAAGATAGAGGAGGATTATAAAATGATGAATGCCTTAAAGATAGCAACTAGACAAAAACACTGTGTAATAATAGGTGATTTTAACTACCCACACATTGATTGGGTCAATATGTGTTCTAGCCGGGAGAAAGAGATTGAGTTTCTAGACACTCTAAATGACTGTGCTATGGAGCAGATGGTCACGGAACCTACCAGGGGAGAGGCGATCCTTGATTTGGTCCTAAGTAACACTCAAGACCTGGTGAGAGATGTAAAAGTGATTGCACCGCTTGGAAACAGTGATCATAATGTTGTTGAGTTCATCATTTGTACAAATAGAGAATTGGCCAAAAAGACTCACACAACCATTTTTAACTTTAAAAGGGGTAATTTCTCTGATATGAGGGGACACGTGGGGAGGAAACTGAAAGGAAAAGTAGAAAGGGTCAAAACAATTGGGGAAGCTTGGGATCTATTTAAAACTACGATCCTAGAAGCTCAAAAAATATATATTCCGCAGGTTAGGAAAGGCACAAACAGGTATAGGAAAAAGCCTGCATGGTTAACAAACAGAGTAATGGAGGCTGTAAAAAGTAAAAAGAATTCCTTTAAGCAGTGGAAAGCTAGTCACAGTGAGGCTGATAAAACGGAACACAGGCTATGGCAAATAAAATGCAAGTCTGAGGTCAGGCAGGCAAAAAGGGAATATGAGGAGCATATAGCAAAAAACGTAAAAACCAACAATAAAACTTTCTTCAAATACATTAGAAACAGGAAACCAGCCAGGGAGGCAGTGGGGCCCTTGGACGACCAAGGGGTAAAAGGAGTATTGAAGGATGATAGGGAAATGGCTGAGAAGCTAAATGCATTTTTTGCCTCCGTCTTCACTGTGGAAGATGAGAAGTGCTTGCCCACTCCAGAACCACTGATTTCAGGAGGGGTGTTGAAAGACCTGAGTCAGATTGAGGTGACGAGAGAGGAGGTCCTAAAACTGATAGACAACTTAAAAACTGAAAAATCACCAGGCCCAGATGGCATACATCCGAGAGTTCTGAAAGAACTCAAATGTGAACTTGTAGATCTCCTGACAAAGATATGTAATCTTTCCTTAAAATCTGCCTCCATTCCTGAGGATTGGAAGGTAGCTAATGTCACTCCCATCTTTAAAAAGGGTTCCAGAGGAGATCCGGGAAATTACAGGCCAGTCAGTCTGACGTCGATACCGGGTAAATTGGTGGAAACCATTATTAAGGAAAGAATTAGTAGGCACATAGATGAACAAAACCTATTGAGGCAGACTCAGCACGGTTTCTGTAAGGGAAGATCTTGTCTCACTAACCTGTTAGTGTTCTTTGAGGGGGTGAACAAACATGTGGACAAGGGGGATCCAATAGATATTATTTACCTTGACTTCCAGAAAGCTTTTGATAAAGTTCCTCATCAAAGGCTCCTAAGTAAGCTCAAAAATCATGGGATAGAAGGACAAGTCCTTTTATGGATCAAAAACTGGCTAGTTCATAGAAAACAGAGAGTGAGTGTAGGTGGGCAATTTTCTCAGTGGAGGGTGGTAAGCAGTGGGGTACCGCAGGGATCAGTACTTGGTCCACTGCTTTTTAACTTGTTCATTAATGATTTGGAGATGGGAGTAAGCAGTGAAGTGGCTAAATTTGCGGATGATACAAAGTTGTTCAGGGTGGTGAAAACCAGTGAGGATTGTGAGGCACTCCAAGGGGATCTGTCAAGGATGGGCGAGTGGGCGTCAACATGGCAAATGGGGTTCAATGTGGCCAAGTGCAAGGTGATGCACATTGGAGCCAAAAATCCTAAATATAAATACACATTGATGGGGTCTGAACTGGCAGAGACTGAGCAAGAGAGAGATCTTGGAGTTGTAGTGGATAACTCACTGAAAATGTCGAGACAGTGTGTGACTGCAATAAAGAAGGCCAATGCTATGCTGGGGATTATTAGGAAGGGTATTGAAAACAGATCAGCCAATATAATAATGCCCCTATATAAATCAATGGTGAGACCTCATTTGGAATACTGTGTGCAGTTCTGGTCACCACACCTTAAAAAGGATATTATAGCTTTGGAAAAAGTGCAGAAAAGGGCAACTCGAATGATAAAAGGGTTGGAACACTTTCCCTATGAGGAAAGGTTAAAGCGCTTAGGGCTCTTTAGCTTGGAGAAAAGACGACTGAGGGGTGACATGATCGAGGTTTATAAGATTATGCATGGGAAAGAGCAGGTAGAGAAAGAGGTACTTTTCTCCCTTTCTCACAATACAAGAACTCGTGGGCACTCCATGAAACTGCAGAGCGGTCGGGTTAGAACGGATAAAAGGAAGTACTTCTTCACCCAAAGAGTGATTAACACTTGGAATTCACTGCCACAGGAAGTGGTGGGTGCTACGAGCATGGACGGCTTCAAAAGGGAATTAGATAAGCATATGGAGCAGAGGTCCATCAGTGGCTATTAGCCACAAGGTATAGCTAGGGGCTCTGGGGCAAGTGATGCTCTGTCTTCTTGGTGCTTGGGGGGGGTCAACAGTGGGAGGGCTTCTAATGTCCTGGCCCCACTGCTGGACCTCCTGATGGCACTGGTATTTCTGGCCACTGTGTGACACAGAGTGTTGGACTGGATGGGCCTTTGGCCTGATCCAACATTGGCGTCTCTTATGTTCTTATGTTCTTATGACTGACCCAGGGTCACACCAGCAGCTGCATGTGGAGGAGTGGGGAATCAAACCCAGTCCGCGCTCCTAACCCCTACACCAAACTAACCATTGCATCATGCACAGTATGGTCAATTTACAAAAAGCTTTATTACAAGTTGTTGTCCATGGGAAAGAATTTGTGTATGTAGGAGCTGTGTGAGCCATTCTGAACGTATGGATACCCTTGTGGTGAATTAAATTGTGAGAAGTTCATTGAAAATTGAAGTTTGACAAAGACCATTCTCGAAACGAACGCAGATACACTCGAGAAGTGTTCGTCCTGTTCCTGTGCTGTACATCTGTTGGCACCTGTTGAAAACAAGTATTAAATTACATCATGGAAATTTGAATATTTTTCATTGAATATTTTTGTATATATCTTAGTGAACTTTTTCAGCAATATAATTTGAACTCAAGACTGTCAGATCTGAATCCAGCATTCTGTGGGTTGGGTCTCCCCAAGGAGGGGACGAGGGTCATCCACTAACATCCCTTCAAATCCCGGCAACAGACAGGGATGTCAAAGACTTTCTTGCAATCTGATCCCCTCCCCCTGCAGTCCTTCGACGAGAGCGGAAGACGCAACACAACAACGTCGGCCATGACGACCACAATCAGCTTTCGGGTGTTCTCCAGCCTGGACGATGGGATGGGATGCGCTGAGGTGGATCGAATCCTTGATGCCTGGCATGAAGAGGGAATAGAGAACAGCCATGAGATCTTGAAGGTAACCCTTTCTTTGCCATCGGATGTTCAGACACCTCGGAAGTTAGTGAAATTTAATCCATCCCCCTGATGTGTCTTGGGAGTCACACGGGCAGGAAAATGCGGGGGGGGGGGAGCATGGCTGTTTGGCCCGGAGCAAAATAACGCGCGGTTGCGCGATCAGAGGTCCGTAGAGGTCCCGTGGTTAGGGGGGAGGTGCCAATCACAGGACAATCCTGCGGCACGGCAAAGAAGCAGCCTCTCTAGCAGGGCTGCAGAGGAATGCAAACTGTGTCCTCCGTCCGGTCCCCTCCAGGAGGAGCTTCAGCCGGGCCGCCCTCCCGCCATGCCCCCCCTGCACCTCCCCCTCTGCCGCCCGGTGCAGAGAGTTTCTCGCGAGCAGGCCGAGCCAGGAGTGGGGGGGGTATGGAAAAGAGGAGGGGGCTGTGTTGTTTGTTTTTAAACGAAGTGTGTGCATGCGCCGTTGGGTGCTTGTGCGCATCCCGTGGAGACTTGGGAAAAAAACACCTTTATGCGAGGGGACATGGGCGGGCGCCAGATGCCACGACCTACCACCGGAAACGCCATCAGGCGCCCGCCCTTGCCCCGCGGTTTCCGGAAACTAGTACCTCGGAGGTACTAGTTTTTTACCCCACATCTTCGGCAGGAAGCCTCGGGTTCGCCACGGGAGCTCTACGCTTCCCAGATGTGGCGCTGTCATCGCGCCCGGAAAATCTGTAGCATGGCTAATGCTCCGTGTGACCGCAGCCTTATTCTGCCAGGCTCCTGGCATCACAGGCATAATTTCCAGAACTTTTCCATTCTACTGGGAAGACACGCACAACTTTTCATTTTCCACAATCCGTTGGAGACACTTGAGGCCATTCGTTAAGATAAATACATGCCGGGTTTGGTGTCATAATTCTGCTCTTTCTGAGATAATGCAATATTTTATTGTCACTCATTAGGTAACCAATTAGGAGAGTTGCAGTGGCGTACCAAGGGGGTAGAGGGGCAATTTAAGGAAGGCCTTTGAATTGGGCCCTTGAAGCCCTCCATCCGAACCTCGTCCCTTTTATTTTTTAAGATGCAGTTCTGGCTGCAGCCCCTTGGGGCGCAGGGAAGTCTGAGCAGAACAAAAAGCTCTAGGATCGGCTGAGCTTCCCTATTCTCCAAGACTCAAGCAAACTTCCTTAATAGATCGTGCTGATAGCTGCTACAGTAATTGCATGTCATTTTCTCCAATCATCTGGCCTTTCTCTCTCCCTTTCCTTGCACCAAGCTCAGCCAGGTCTTGCAAAGCAGTAGTTTAGGGTGTTGCAGCAAGATAACCTTTCCCTCTCTTAATCTCTCCCTCTTTTCCGCACATTTCTCATTCATTTCTGTCTCCCTTCACCTAATTTTTCTCCCCCCCCCCTATTTTCACTTCTTCGTCTCAAGACTTTCTCATCCCTATCCTGCTTTGTGACAGCATGTATTTACGAGTAGTATAGTAGCAAAACTTTGTTAATATTATGCTGGGTACTCTGTACAAAAATGCCCCCCCCCTTCAGTTTCTTCTGGAGAGATTCTCTGGTGTGACCAGGGGTCATTTCCTGCAGGAGCGCACAGGAGCGGAGCTCCGGCAGTAAAGAGGCCAGGGAGCGGGCACATGCAACAAGCCACACCCCCTGCTCCCAGCAGCCCTGGGCCACGAAGAGCAAGAAGCAGCCCTCCTTTCCTTCTCTCCTTTCCTTCCTTATTTCCTTCTCTCCCTCTTTCCCTCTTTCCCTCCTTCTTTCCTCCTTTCTCTCTTTCTTTCTTACAATCTCTTTTCCCTTCCCCTCCCCACAACAGACACTCTGTGAGGGAGTTGGGGCTGAGAGAGCTCTGACAGAAACTGCTCTTTTTCAAGAACAGGTTCGAATCCCCACTCATGCCATGGAAGTTTGCTGGGTGACCTTGGGTCAGTCATATTACTCTCAGCCTAGCCCTGACCTGGATAGCCCCAGGGTCGCCTGATCTTGTCAGGTCTCAGAAGCAAGTTTGGTGTAGTGGTCAGGAGCGCGGACTCTAATCTGGGAGAACCAGGTTTGATTCCCCACTCCTCCACATGCAGCTGCTGGGGTTACCTTGGGTCAGTCACAAGTTCTCTCAGAGCTGTTCTCTCAGGAGCAGTCCTCTCAGAGCTCTCTCAGTCCCACCTACCTCCCAGGGTGCCCGTTGTGTGGAGGGGAAGGGAAAAGAGATTGTAAGCCGCTCTGAGAGTCCGTAGTGAAGGGCAGGGTATAAATCTAATCTCCTCCTCCTCCTCCTGGGTTTGATTCCCCACTCCTCCACTTGCAGCTGCTGGATGACCTTGGGCAAGCCATAGTCCTGTCAGAGCTGTTCTCTCAAGAGCAGTCCTCCAAAGAGCTCTCTCAGCCCCACCTACCGCACAGGGTGCCTGTTGTGGGGAGGGGAAGGGAAAGGAGTTTGTAAGCCGCTCTGAGACTCCTTTGCGTAGGGAAGGGCAGGGTAGAAATCCAATCTCCTCCTCCTCCTCCTCCTCTTCTTCTTCTTCTCCACAATGGCTCTCATGATGGAATAGCATGTTGAATACAAGGAATTTTTCACTGTTTACATTTCTTTTCTGGCCATGGAAACAAAGTCCGGGTCCAGTGACACCTTTAAGACGATCCTTTGTTCTGCTGCCTTAGACCAGCACGGCTAACCCCCTGAATCTACTGCACAGTTGTTTAGAAGCTCCGATCATAACCTGCTCAAAGGACAAAGGTGTCTTTAAACAAGGGGCCATCTTTGCATCTTGCTTTTCCGACAGGCCTTAGATTTCAGCTTGGATGGGAAAGTTAACCTGAGCGAGCTCACACTGGCCCTGGAAAACGAGCTCCTCGTAACGAAGAATGGGATCTACCAGGCGGCGCTCGCGAGTTTCAAAACGGAGATCAGGCATCTGATGTAAGTATTGGGTGTGTGTGTGTGATTTTATTCCCTTAAATTTCCACAGTGAGTTTTCACAACATTTTCAGATGAGCAACAAGAGATTTCAGACAAATTAGACAAATCAGCTTCCCGAAAAACGATATCTGCCCTCAGAAAGCTCCATAAACGGCTTTATTATGAATGCTGAACAAAATGGTCTTGAAAGGCTTGGGAAAACAGCTTTCATCTCCAGCAGAAGGGGATTCCTCTCTGAAAGTGGGGTGCGGGAGTGGCAGACCTAGGGTTGCCAACTCTGGTTTGGGAAATCCCTGGAAATTTGGGGATGGAGCCTGAGGATCCAGAGGAGAAGAAGAGATTGGATTTATACCCCGCCCTTCACTACCCAAAAGAGTCTCAGAGCGGCTTACAAACTCCTCTCCCTTCCCCTCCCCACAACAGACACCCTGTGAGGTAGGTGGGGCTGAGAGAACTCTGACACAAACTGCTCTTTTTCAAGGACCGCTCTTATAAGAACTATGGCTTGCCCAAGGTCATCCAGCCAGGTACAAGTGGAGGAGTGGGGAATCAAACCCCGTTCTCCCAGATTAGAGCCCACACACTTAACCACCACACCAAACCAGAGACCTCAGTGGGGTACCATGCCAGAGAGTCCGCCCTCCAAAGCATCCATTTTCTCCTGGGGAAGCTGATCTCTGTAGCCTGGAGACCAGTTGTCATCAATGCTCCCTCTAAGCCGTGGAGTCTTGTGAGCAAAAATTCTACTCTGCAAGCGACCGGCACGAAAGTTGTGAGCGAGCGATTGGGCTCCTTGGAAGGATTAGAATTTACAGTTCTCAGGCTTTCATTAATGCGACCAAGCTGTACGTTTTCACAGGTTGGTTGCAGCCTGTTTGGGCTGAGCGTTAATTAAAAACACCTGGTGGCCTTGACCAGCTGCATAAGATGCCTTTACCTGGCTGCCAGCTAACAACCGGGGGGAAATCTGACTATGCCCTGATTGGCAGGAGGTGGCTACCTAACTGGGCAGTAGTCACATAAGAAACAAACAGAGGCTGAGGCCTCCGGGACTTCAAGCTGAAAGGCTGCGGACTGTGCCCGTGGGAGTGGACTCTCTTTCTTAAGCCTTCGGGTGAGAAAGCCAGGTCGCAAGATTACCCCAGTGAACGAAGCCACCAAGGAGTTAATGCTTCAGGCTCAGCCTCTGCCCAGTGCAAGTATAGCGTCGTTGTTTTTTTTTTGCCATTGCTGTAATTTGTGAGTGGTTTCTTCTGAGCAAACACTCTTTGTTATTTGAAGGATTCAAATAAATGCAGAGGTATTTTTTAACCTACCACGCCGGGAGTGTCTGTCTGCATCCTCGAGAGGAACCCAGAGCCTCAGCAAAGGACCAGGACCCAGTGAGAACCCCAAGGACCCAGGTGGCTGTGAGCTCAGCGCCTGAGAACGGGGGAGTGTTTGTCCTTGGTCCAGACACTCCTGCATCAATTAGTTTGCTCTGGAGCCCTCCTTCCCGAGCTCGGACAGAAACCTGTGAGCCAGAGGCTAAAAAACTGTGAGCAAGCTCACACTAACTCAGCTTAGAGGGAACGCTGGTTGTGGTTCTGGGAGACCTCCAGCCACCCCCTGGAAGTTGGCTACCTTAGGCAGGACCTGGGAATGCCTCTCTGCACACACCAATCATGCTTGACCCCCCCCCCCAGCAGACTGGTGAAGCCCGGAACCATTAATCAACATTGAAACCCCACCCCCAAATGGCCTGGGACCCTCATACATTTGGGACCGCCTCTCCCAGCATGATCCTTCCCGACTTCTCTGATCTCAATCTCGGCATTTATTGAAGGTCCCTGGTCCACAAACTGTCCGCCTTGTGTCAACGAGGTCGAGGGCCTTCTCAGTGGCGGCCCCTGTCCTGTGGAACCAGCTGCCCAAAGAGGTGAGTGCCTTGAGAGAGCCAGTTTGGTGTCGTGGTTAAGTGTGCGGACTCTAATCTGGGAGAACCGGGTTTGATTCCCCACTCCTCCACTTGCACCTGGCTGGATGACCTTGGGCAAGCCATAGATCTGGCACAGCTGTCCTTGAAAAAGAGCAGTTTCTGTCAGAGCTCTCTCAGCCCCACCCACCTCACAGGGTGTCTGTTGTGGGGAGGGGGAGGGAAAGGAGTTTGTAAGCCACTCTGAGACACCTTTGGGTAGTGAAGAGCGGGGTATAAATCCGATCTCTTCTCTCTTCTTCTTGAGAGACCTCCCAAGGTTCCGCAGGGCATGCGAGGCTGCTCTTTTTGGGGCGGTCTTTGGGTGATTGTGACCCAGGTGGCATTCTTCGGCTGCGTGTTCACCTTCAGGCATCCTACCCTGCTTGATAGTGGATAGATTTTAATGGGGACAGCTTTCTTTTTTTTCCACGACATATTTTATTAATTTTCAAGTAGTACAACAAAATACAAACATTATAACATTAAGTGTACATTTGAACATTTTGCATTTGAAACAGTTTAACATATAAAGTTAAGCAATAAACTATAATACTTAAGTCGATTCTTCCTACTGAGAGTAGTGTGTTCTTGTTCAATGAAAATTTTTTAGGGTAAATTATTGTCAGTACAGTTGGGAGAGGAGCTGCGGTGGCTCAAGGGGTTAAGACGCTGAACTGCAGGCTGTGGAAGGTCGGTAGTTCAGCAGTTCGAGACCCGGGTGTGCCGCATGACGGAGTGAGCTCCCGTCTCTAGTTCCAGCTCCTGCCAACCTAGCAGTTCGAAAGCAAGAAATTGCAAGTAGATAAATAGGTACCACTTCGGTGGGAAGGTAACAGCGTTCCGTGTGCCTCGGCGTCTAGTCATGCTGGCCACATGACCACGGAAACGTCTTTGGACAGCGCTGACTCTTCAGCTTTGAAACGGAGATGAGCACCGCAACCCTAGAGTCGGATTCGACTGGCTTTCGAGCAAGGGAACCTTTACCTTTACCTTACAGTTGGGAGAAAGAAAAGCATGTACATTTTGTACATATTCAATTACATAGAGCAGAAGTATTTGATTTACCACAGCCACAAATCATCTATCACTTTGGGAGTATCAGTATGATTAGTTAAATACTCTAAAAGAGGGAACCAAGTTGCTACAAATGAGGTAGGAGCGGGTATTTTGTCAAAGCGCGTAAGATTATCCGAGAGTTTTGCCATAATATATAAATCCCACAACTTATTGTGCCACTGTGTAAGAGTGGGATGGGGACAGATTTTTCATTGTGTTCTGTTTTAAAGATTATTTATTGTATCTCGGTATTTTTTTGATTTATTTTTTAATTCACTGTATTTTATACACTGTTAGCCGCCCTGAGTCCCGTTTGTGGAAGAGGGAGGGGGGTATAAATTCGATTTTTAAAAAAGAAACAAAAATAAATAAACCAGTCTTAATTAAGTAGCTGAGCCCAGGGTGGGTCCTCCACTTGCACCTGCTGATGTGACCTTGGGTCAGTCACAAGCTCTGGCACAGCTGTTCCTGAAAGAGCAGTTTCTGTCAGAGCTCTCTCAGCCCCACCCACCTCACAGGGTGTCTGTTGTGGGAAGGGATGGGGAAAGGAGATTCTAAGCTGCTCCGAGACTCCTTCGGGTAGTGAAAGGCAAGGTCTAAATCCAATCTCTTCTTCTTCCAGCTCTGTGGTTCTATGAGAAGCTGGCTCCTGCCAATCCAAACCTTCTCTGGTCCACATTCACCTCCCCCCATATGCTCCTGTACTCTCCCTTCCTTTACCACTCCCCAGCATATGACAGAGATGACGCCTCCAGGTACCTTGCAAGCAGTGTGAGGCAGGGACCTGTCTTTTTCACTTCTGTTGGTCTTGAGACCCAGTACGGTATGCAGAATCAGGCTAGGAACAGGGAGACCCCGGGTCGAATCCCCAACTCTGCCATGGAAGCTCCCTGGGTGGCCTTGGCCCAGTCCTGCACTCAGCCTCACCTGTCCTCACAAGGCTGCGAGAATAAAATGGGGAGAGGAGAAAGACCTACACAGCTTTGGGTCCCCAAAGAGAGAAGGGCACGCTGCTATAAGTAAGTGAGATAAAGGAGAAATATGAGACATTCAAGGTAAAGGTAAAGGTTCCCTTGCTGGAGAGCCAGTCGAATCCGACTCTAGGGTTGTGGTGCTCATCTCCGTTTCAAAGCCGAGGAGCCAGCGCTGTCCGAAGACGTTTCCGTGGTCATGTGGCCGGCATGACTATCTTCTTCTTCTTCTTCTTCTTCTTCTTCTTCTTCTTCTTCTTCTTCTTCTTCTTCTTCTTCTTCTTCTTCTTCTTCTTCTTCTTCTTCTTCTTCTTCTGGTGATCTACCCACTCCCCTTATCCTCCTCCCCCCCCAGGAGGCTGTGAAAATTTTTAGCCTTAAACGCTTTTCTGCCACCCTGAGCAGAGCGTTTTTATGTATTAACTGTTCTTTATTGTAGGTTTTAACTTTTCAGTTTTGGTAGCCTTGTATTCTGCAGTATGTCATTATATTGAATTTTACGGTCAGCCGCCCTGAGCCCCGCTTTCTGGGAAGGGCGGCCTAAAAACCAAATGGATAAATAAATCTTGTGAAGGAGTGCCGCTTGGTGCGGTCATCGTCAGCTGTGGCCAGAGGAAGGAACTGCAGAGACACCAGCCGTGACATGCGAGGGAACGGCCATTCACCTATCGGGGCGGTCGTGGTGATTCTGGAACAAAAGTCCAGGATGGGGCCTCAGAATTCCCAAAACGAATCCTAAAACCCTGCAGTCCGGAGACCCTTTTCACACATCCAGAAGAGGAAGAAGAGGAGATTGGATTTATACCCCGCCCTTCACTACCCAAAGGAGTCTCAGAGGGGCTTACAAACTCCTTCCCCTCCCCCTCCCCACAACAGACTCCCTGTGAGGTAAAAGAATAAGAGGAGATTGGATTTATACCCCGCCCTTCACTACCCAAAGGAGTCTCAGAGGGGCTTACAAACTCCTTTCCCTTCCCCTCCCCACAACAGACACCCTGTGAGGTAGGTGGGTCTGAGAGAGCTCTGACAGAAACTGCTCTTTTTCAAGGACAGCTCTTATCCGAACTACGGCTTGCCCAAGGTCATCCGGCAGCTGCAAGTGGAGGAGTGGGGACTCGAACCCGGTTCCCCCAGATTAGAGTCCGCGCTCCTAACCACAACACCAAACTGGCTCTCAAATTGCCACGCCAGGTGTGCCCCATCCTTTACCTGTGCATTTGATTCCCCCCCCCCAAAAAAAATGCAAAACGTTTGCATCTGTGTTTGTTGAATTTAATATTAGTTTAATGCCAGCTTTCCAACCTGCCTAGACCATTTCGGATTTTATTTCTATCTTCTAAGTTGTTCGCTCGTGCTCCATTTTGTGTCCTTTGCTGGTTTGGTGAGGATTCGATCAATGGTTGAATATCCCCCCCCCCTTCTTTAGGGAACGGGTGGACCAGGTGGTTAGAGAAAAAGCAAAGCTGCGCTTGGACCTGGAGAAAGCAGAGAAACTGAAGTCGCTGATGGCCTCCGAAGTGGACGACCACCATGCTGCCATTGAACGTCGAAACGAGTACAACCTGAGGTCGGTTTTGCTCCCAGGTCTGTCCACCCCCTCCGTTGGATTGCCAACTCCTGGAGGGAACTATCCCACTTCCTGCCACTAGGGTATCTGTGCCACCAGTCCTGTTGGGGCTTGCCTGCTAGGTGGGGCAGACTTCTAACCCCCCTTCTTAACCTGAGGCCCCGCCTCTGGTCTCCTGCTACCCAGTGCCTGGTTACCACAGGAACCAATTACATCTTTGGGGTTCCCCTCTGGAGGGTTGGCACTGGGTGCCTTGACTGCTTTCCTCCCACTCTAGGGACCCCTCCCGCAAAACAATAGTGTGTCCCAGCGGCTGAGGGAAACTATGTGGTACAGAGAACCACCACCAGCATCACAGAGTGCAATATTTATTTAAAAAGAAAATGTTTACGAACATGCTTTAGCACCACACCCAAATCAGCACACGGAAGAACCAAAGAATAGTGGTTATAAGCGCATCCTCTTTCCCTCTCCTCTACACAAACCCTAACTGATGTTAACAATAGGGTAGGCGCCTAGTCTTAGAAAGCTGCAAATTCTCTAAAGCTCTTTCATTACCTTCCAGCTCCCTGCAGGCCTTCCCCATACTGCATGGTCAAAGATGTCGGCTGGCCTGCAGACCAGAGCTCGGCAGCCTGTTCTCTTCCAAGGACCAGCACACAAGAGAGCACTAGGGTAACTTATTGACACCACCTATGTCTCCACCCACTTTATATCTCTTCTTCCACCCTCCTGACCTGGTCCACCCAGGTTGCAGGTGCATCCTGGGAGCCCTCCTAGAAGGCATTCTGGGAAGTCTCCAGAAGTCACCCAGAGATCCCTAACACCAAATCCCTCAGTTGACTTTGCTAGCAGAGTCATTATTTTATTTATTTAATTCAGTTCTTATCCCACCCTTCCTGCCGAAGCAGGCTCAGGACGGCTCACATGAAAAGTTATAATACAATAAAACACAAATCTGTTACATACAAAACACCTCATGAAATTCATAGACGTTGCAGATACAATTCGCGAGTAGATAACCGTTAAAGTGCTAGTGGCAGTAACCAGGGGTCATTTCGTAGAAAAAGAGGTACAGGAGCTCATTAGCATAACTTCTTTGCATATGCCACACCCCCTGACATCCCCAGAAGTGTGTCAGAAGGCAACACCCACCGCTCAGGCTCCACTGGACTGGTCTGGATTGCTAGCTGTTGGGGGGGGGCATGCATATCTGTCCTCGCAGGGGAGGGAGAGCTTGTACCTGAATAAAACTTGGTCTTAAAGGTGCCACTGGCCTGTTTTGGACTGGAGGGGTGGGGTGGGGGGCTCTGCAACTTACCTGGCTGCTTCTTGCTCTGACTGTGGGCTGCTGGGAGCAGGGGGCGGGGCTTGTTGCATGTGCCCGCCCCCTGGGCTCTTTACTGCCGGAGCTCCACTCCTGTGCGCTCCTGCAGGAAATGACACCTGGCGGTAACTATTGGCCATGATGTTGCAGATATAGCAGAAAGTATGGCCAAAAGATGTCACTGTTGACATCGCAGGCAGATGCTGTTGTCATGAAGGGCCTCATCCCAGTTCAATGTTGTCAGTAGCGGCTCCCAATCCAAAGGCTTGGTGGAAGAGCTCCGTTTTGCAGTTCCTGATGTCTTCCGGGAGCTCATTCCACCAGTATGGAGACACTACTGAGAAGGCCCTGGCCCTAGTAGAGGCCAGTTTGGCATCTTTCGGTCCAGGGAAAGTCAGGCGGTTTTGGGATATTTGAGCTAGTTCTAGAATAGCTATAACGGTGAACTAACAGGCCATTGACACTGGCTTCCCGCTACTTGGAAAGGAAAAAACTCGCACTTGTAAAATACAGAAAGGGGGGGGCGGGGTTCTCCACACTGACCTTGATGAACCAAGGGTCTGATTCAGTACAAGGCAGTTTCATGTGCTCAGCTGCATTTAGGGGAGGGGCCTTGGCTCAGTGGTAGACCATCTGCTTGGCACTCAGAAGGTCCCAGGTTCAGTCCCCGGCACCTCCAGTTAAAAGGACCAGGCAGCGGGTGACGTGAAAGGCCTCTACCTGAGACCCTGGAGAGCGGCTGCCAGTCTGAGCAGACAATGCTGACTTTGATGGACCAGTGTTCTGATTCAGTATAAGGCAGCTTCATGTTTCTGGTCATACGTGTCGCACTGAATGCCTGACTTGCTGGAGTTTCGACACAGTTAGGGCGCTTAAGAACATAAGAGAAGCCAGTGTTGGATCAGGCCAGTGGCCCATCCAGTCCACCACTCTTCTGTCACACAGTGGCCAAAAATACCAGGTGCCATCAGGAGGTCCAGTAGTGGGGCCAGGACACTAGGAGCCCCCTCCCACTGTTGCCCCCACCCCAAGCACCAAGAATACAGAGCATCACTTGCCCCAGACCGAGAGTTCCTTTCTATATCTTGTGGCTAACAGCCACAGATGGACTTCTGTTCCATATGTTTATCCAATTCCTTCTTGAAGCCATCCATGCTTGTAGCCGCCACCACCTCCTGTGGCAGTGAAGTCCACATGTTGATCACCCTTTGGGTGAAGAAGTACTTCCTTTTATCTGTTCTAACCTGACTGCTCAGCAATTTCATGGAGTGCCCACGAGTTATTGTATTGTGAGAAAGGGAGAAAAGTACTTCTCTCTCAACCTGCTCTATCCCATGCATAATCTTGTAAACCTCGATCATGTCACCCTTCAGCCGTCGTTTCTCCAAGCTAAAGAGCCCCAAGCGCTTTAACTTTTCTTCATAGGGAAAGTGTTCCGACCCTTTTATCATTCTAGTTGTCCTTTTCTGCACTTTTTCCAATGCTAGAATATCCTTTTTGAGGTGTGACAACCAGAACTGTACACAGTACTCCAGATGAGGTGGCACCATCGATTTATACAGGGGCGTGATGATATTGGCTGATTTGTTTTCAATTCCCTTCCTAGTAAGAGGGGGCTTCTCCCACAAGAAGAAAGCCGACCTTCGTCCCATGCACAATCCATGAGCTGTCTATTTCCATACGAATCTGAAAACCTTGGCCTGCTTTAATCTGCATACGTAGGAAACTGGACGAGGAGTACAAAGATCGGGTGGCGCTTCTCAGAAACGAACTTCGGAAAGAACGGGAGCAGATCCTTCAGCAAGCCGGCAAGCAGCGGGTGGAGCTGGAACACGAGATCGAGGCATTGAAAACGGAGGAGAACTACCTCCGGGACCGCCTTGCTCTGACTCTGAAGGTAACGATCCCAGGGAAAGGGCTCAGCCGGGCTTCTGGGTTCCAAGTCCTCTACTCAAAAGAAAGCGAGCGAATTGGCACCCATTCTCATAAGTCTGGTTGCATTTATCACAAAGCACAGAGATCTGAAGCAAATACGTTCGTCTGTGGTCGATGCTCCCTCTAAGCTGTGGAGTCTTGTGAGCAAAAATTCTATTTTGTGAGCGACTGGCATTAAAGTTGTGAGCGAGCGATTGGGCTACGTCATAAATTAGCTTGCTCTGGAGCCCTCCTTCCTGAGCTGAGACAAAAAATGTGTGAGCCGGAGGCTAAAAAACTGTGAGCTAGCTCACACTAACTCAGCTTAGAGGGAACACTGTCTGTGATAGGTGCCCTGTTATTCTGAGGGAGCCTCAGGTTTTTTTATGACCCTCTTGGTCTCTTTTAGGAAAACAGTCGATTAGAGAGCGAGCTTTTGGAGACGGGAGAGAAGCTGGCCAAGTACGAAAGCACCACGAGCAAACTGCAGAAGAACTTGGAGAACGTCTTGGCGGAGAAGGTCAGTCTGTGTGTCGCATTTAGGGCCCCGCCGAGGTTGAAGGGATAAGTAAAGTTGAGAAAATGAGAAGGCCAAAAATCAGCATAAGCAGAAAACTGAAAATAGGGATTAGTTGGCCTTTACGTCCAGAGATCTTTTTCTTACACTACATATCTGTGTTTCCCGTGAAAAATCAGGCAATTCTCTTACACTTGTTCAGGATGGACACAGAGAGTGATTGAAATGTGGAGTTCGCTGCCAGAGGATGTAGTGATGGCCACAGGAATAAACAGCTTTCAAAGGGGATTAGATAGATTCATGGAGGATACGTCTATCAATGGCTGCTAGCTCTGGTGAATGAGAGGAACCTTCACATTCAGAGGCACAAATCCTCTGAATCTCAGAGCCCGGAGGCAACCTCAGGGGAAGGTCTCGGCCTCTCTGCCCTGCTGTTGGCCCGCCAGAGGAACTGGTTGGGCGCTGTGTGAGACAGGATGCTGCGCTAGACGGACCCCTGATCTGATCCAGCAGGGCTCTTCTGATGTTCTTATGAAGGCCTCAGCCACTATGCCTTGTTGTTGGCCCTCCATGGGAACTAGTTGACCACTGTGTGAGACTTGGATGCTGGACTAAATGGACCTTCACTGGTCTGACCCAGCAGGGCTCTTCTGATGTTCTTAGGAAGGCCTTGGCCTCTCTGCCCCGTTGTTGGCCCTCCAGAGGAACTGGTTGGCTACTGTGTGAGGCAGGATAGTGGACTAGATGAACCACTGGTCTAATCCAGCAGGGCTCTTCTGATGTTCTAATGAAGGCCTCGGCCTCTCTGCCCTGTTATTGGCCCTCCAGAGGAAGAACTGGTTGGCCACTGTGTGAGGCAGAATGCAGGACTAGATGGACCCTCACTGGTCTGATCCAGCAGGGCTCTTCTGATGTTCTTAAGAAGGCCTTGGCCTCTCTGCCCCATTGTTGGCCCTCCAGAGGAACTGGTTGGCTACTGTGTGAGGCAGGATAGTGGACTAGATGGACCACTGGTCTGATCCAACAAGGCCCTTCTGATGTTATGAAGGCCTCAGCCACTATGCCTTCTTGTTGGCCCTCCAGAGGAACTGGTTGGGCGCTGTGTGAGACAGGATGCTGGGCTAGACGGACCACTGCCCTGATCCAGCAGGGCTCTTCTGATGTTCTTATGAAGGCCTCAGCCACTATGCCTTGTTGTTGGCCCTCCAGGGGAACTGGTTGGCCACTGTGTGAGGCAGGATAGTGGACTAGACGGACCACTGGCCTGATCCAACAAGGCCCTTCTGATGTTCTTATGAAGGCCTCGGCCTCTCTGCTCTGCTGTCGGCCCTCTATAGGAACTGGTTGGCCACTGTGTGGGACAGGATGCTGGAATAGATGGACCCTCACTGGTCTGGTCCAGCAGAGCTCTTCTTGTGTTTTTATTAACTGCTATTAGAATTGTACTTGCCCAATACTGGAAGCAGTATATGATGCCAGATACCATGTGAGAACAGTTAGAGACAGTCAAAGAAATGATCATGAAACTTACTGTATTACAGAAAGCAGAACAAGGTCTGAGTCCAGTGGGGGCGCCTTTAAGACCAGCAAAGTTTTATTCTGGGTAGAAGCTCTCGTGTACACCCTGGACTCAAACGTTGTTCTGCTGCTTCAGAGCAACACGGCAACCAACTGAATCTGTATTACGGAAAGGTAATTGTTCATTTTCGTTTGACTTTTTGTGGACCTCTGCTGTCAGTCGAATAGAGCTAAATGTGCAAATGACATATAATCAGGGGTCATTTTGTAGAAAAAGAGGTGCAGGAGCTCATTAGCATAACTCATTAGCATAACTCATTTGCATATGCCACACCCCCTGACATCACCGGAAGTGTGTCAGAAGGCAACACCCACCGCTCAGGCTCCACTGGACTGTTCTGGATTGCTAGCTATTGGGGGGTTGGGGAACGTGCCGATCCGTTGTTGACCCACCAGAGGCGTACAGAAGGTCATCAGCTGCGATCCAAGAAGGGAGATGTGCCAGAGGAAAGAAAGGTGTGGTGGGGGGGGGCAGGGTTCTGGAGGAGGAGGGATGCTGGGGTCCAACTGTAGAAGCCAAAATTGTGAGCTCACGGGAGGAAGTGGAATTCCAAAAACAACATCCCTGAGTCAATAAAGATAAGTTGCAATAACATTGACTATAGTAATTCTGTAGAAAATTTTCTTCTATTATTGCACACATGCTAACGAATACTGTGAGGACCTTGGGGTCTGTTATTGGAGAGTCATAGAATCATAGAATGTTAGAGTTGGAAGGGACCTTGCAGGTCATCTAGTCCAACCCCCCCTGCACTGCAGGAGCGCAGCCGAAAGATAGCCCTACAACATACCCGAAAGATGGTCGTCCAGCCTCCGCTTGAAAACGTCCAGGAAAGGAGCATCCACCACCTCCCGAGGCAGACTGTTCCACTGCTCAACCACTCTGACAGTTAGGAAGTTTTTCCTGATATTTAGCCGGTAACGACTCCCTTGTAATTTCCACCCATTAGATCTAGTCTTGCAATCCGGAGCAAGAGAGAATAGATCCGTTCCATCTTCTACATGGCAGCCCTTCAGATACCTGAAGACTGCAATCATGTCCCCCTTCTAAGCCTTCTCTTTCCCAGGCTAAACATACCCAACTCTTTCAACCTTTCCTCATAAGACTTGGATTCCAACCCTCTCACCATCCTGGTTGCCTTCTTCTGGACACGCTCGAGCTTGTCAACATCCTACAACAGGGAATCAACAGGGAATGTTTCCTTCAAGAGTTGATAAGTAGTAATTGATAAGAATTGGGATTGCTACACGCTCAGTTAAAGCAAACATTGTGAAACGAATTGTTTTCATTGCGCAGTATTCGTTAGCGTGTGAGCGGCGATAGAAGAAAATTTTCTACAGAATTACTACAGTAAATGTTCTTGCAACTTATCTTTATTCTTTGTTATTTTTGTCACGGATGTTGTTTTTGGGGGTCCAACTGTAAGGCCTTGTACCATGAGAAGAGGTAGTATCGATTTTTTTTAAAACTTTGTGTTCAAATTTTTCAAGTGCAGTAGCTTTGCACAGCGCCATTGCAAGACTCAGAGTGAATCCAACAAAACAAAAACCCCGCTGACTGAACAAAAACCCTTGCCTTACTACAGATATCAAACAATGAACCATTCTAGAATTAAAATACAGTGGTGAAGTAACCTAGCAACATAGGGCATACAAGTTCAGTTGAGTGAATAGTGTTGACTCGCGTGTATAATGTTTTAATAAATGACCTGTAGAGCAGGGGTTTCTGGAGGATGGTGGCAGCGCTTTCATTGGAGATATGTGGGAGGGGGGAGAAATACAGGGAGTCCCTTTCCCTTGTCCCTGACCTAGCATCCAGCACAACCCCTACAGAAGAATTCATCACATTGCCCTGCCTTTTTGAGTATTCCACGTGTGAGTGAGCAAAGCTTATTGACAGGGTCGCTCTTTGGCTCTAGTTCGGCGACCTCGATCCCAGCAGCGCCGAGTTCTTCCTGCAAGAGGAGCGGCTGACGCAGATGAAGATCGAGTACGAGCAGCAGTGCAGGGTAAGTGTGGCGGATCGTCAAAAAGAGCACAGGAATGGTCTGTTCGGGGCCACATGTCCCCCCAACAGTGCTGGTGAAAACATCAGGTTCAAGAGACCCCACTTGAGGTAGCGAGTTGCAGCTAGCTCAAACGGTGAACCACAAAGGAAGAATTCTGATAGCGGTCTCCAGTTCCAGTAGTGTTACCTTCATGCCTGAGAGCATCGTGGTGGCGTGTGATCGTGGTATCTTCCCTAGCTCGCTTAGAAACGGAAGCAGAATTTGAGGTGAGGTTTTGAACCTGAAATGTGGAATGTTTTCCTGAATATGCACACCCCGGCTTAGGCCTGGCCCAGGCCCACAGCTACGGTGGGGCCTCTGGGGGGGCCCTGCCCCTCAACTTCCCAACGAGGCCCCCCCAACTCAGGGCCCACAACCTGGCGGAGCAGGAAGGGAGGGTGAGATGCGGCCGAGGCGGGTCTTTGCACTCTCACAGCCGACGTTGGGTTTTGTTTTTTTAATAACAAACAGATGCAGCTTCTTATTACAGGACAATTATATGAAACTTTTATTAGAAATTAAGAAAGACCTGGAAAAGTGGAAAGAGTTGCCAATCTCTCTAATGGGAAGAATAGCCACTATAAAAATGAACATTCTACGAAGGGGGAACTTTTTATTCCAAACTATCCGAATCTTTAAAAATCAACAGTGTTTTAAAGAGCTAGATAAACTTATGAAACAATTTATATGGCAAGGCCAGAGGCCTAGAATAAGAATGAAGGCACTGCAGGATGCAAAAGAAAGAGCTGGATTTGCTTTGTCGCACTGATCTCTATACTATAAAGCAGCCTCATTGACTTGGGTAAAAGAGTGGCTTACCCTGGATAATCCTAGGCTATTAAAGCTGGAGGGTCACAGCCGACTTTGAAGCGGGCTACAGAAACAGGAAGACCCGGCCTGCCGGACCTTCCTCTGTCTCCCCTCCTGTTCGGCAGAGCAGGAGGGGAGAGCGAGAAGCGGTGAATCTTCGTGCTCTCGCAGCTGGCTTTGAATCTGGCCACGAAAGCAGGAAGACCAGCCCAGGGAGGCCGCCTCTTGTCCTCTCCTCCTGCTCGACTTTCTAAAATGTCTGCCACTTCTCCTCTAAATCAAGATTCCTGTCCCTCTGTTACCCATTAGAAGGAAACACGGGACCAAGAACCTGGGGTTTCCTGCTGGTTCTGCCCTCGCTGTCCACCCGGAGCCTGCGTGTGGATGCTGGCCCATGAGCTGGAGCGAGTTGTTCACCTTAGGAGGGGTCATTTTGTAGAAAAAGAGGTGCAGGAGCTCATTAGCATAACTTATTTACACAACTTATTTGCATATGCCACACCCCCTGACATCACCAGAAGTGTGTCAGAAGGCAACACCCACCGCTCTGGCTCCACTGGACTCTTTTGGATTGCTAGCTATGGGGGGGGGGACGTGCAGATCTGCCCTCACAGAGGAGGGAGAGCTTGTACCTGAATAAAACTTGGTCTTAAAGGTGCCACTGGACTGTTCTGGATTGCTAGCTATTGGGGGGGGGGGAAGGTGCAGATCTGCCCTCGCAGAGGAGGGAGAGCTTGTACCTGAATAAAAATTGGTCTTAAAGGTGCCACTGGACTGTTCGGGATTGCTAGCTATTGGGGGGGGGGAACCAGCAGGAGGGTGGGAGTTGTGCCGGAAGGGCGGCGGGGGGGGGGGGGGGGCTCTGCAACTTACCTGGCTGCTTCTTGCTCCTCATGGCCCGACTGAGGGCTGCTGGGAGCAGGGGTCGAGGCTTGCTGCATGTGCCCACCCCCTGGGGTCCTTACTGCCGGAGCTCCGCTCCTTTGCACTCCCGCAGGAAATGACCCCTGGTCAGGAGTATTCAAAGTGGTGTTTTGCCCCAGGGAAATGTGCTCAGAATTGAACCCACACGGTGAGACGTCTCTGGCAGACTTGCAGATGCTGCTGTGGTTGGGACCAGTGTTCCCTCTAAGCTGAGTTAGCGTGAGCTAGCTCACATTTTTTTTAGCTTCTGGCTCACACATTTTCATCTTTGCTCAGGAAGTACAGCTCCAGAGCAAACCAATTTATGCAGGAGCCAAATCGGGCACTCATGGCTTTAATGCCAGGAGCTCCCAAAGTAGAATTTTTGCTCGCAAGACTCCACAGCTTCGAGGGAGCATTGGTTGGTACTGGTGTATTTCAGAACTAAGCATGCGTACAAAGCTGCCTTCTACTGAATCAGACCCTCGGCCCATTAAAGTCAGTATTTTCTACTCAGACTAGTAGTGGTTCTCCAAGGTCTCCGGCAGAGGTCTCTCATATTACTTCTCACCTGATCCTTTAACTGGAGAGGCCAGGGATTGAACCTGGGACCTTCTGCGTGCCAAGCTTCTCTCTCACAACATCCTAAAAATGTCACCCAGTGGACCATTTGTGCTGCTGCTCCCGCCTTGACCGCTCCCCCACCCGTTGTTATCCAGGAACTCCAAGACCAGATTGACGAACTGCAGTCTCAGCTGGAGGCTTATCGTACTCAAGGCAAAGTGGTCCGAAGTTCCTTTAACAGCTCTCTCTACGAGGAGCTGGGCGGCGGCGGAGTCGAAAGCAATCACGGTAAAAGTTGCCCCCTGGTTGTATGTGTCAAGAGCCAGTCCTGTAAGGGCAGGGGTCCGTGCGTGTGTGCGTGTGTCTAGGGGGCAGTAAGAACGTAAGAACGTAAGAGAAGCCAATGTTAGATCATTCTTGGTGCTTGGGGGGAGGCAACAGTGGGAGGGCTTCTGGTGTCCTGGCCCCACTGGTGGACCTCCTGATGGCCCCTGGTGTTTTTGGCCACTGTGTGACACAGAGTGTTGGACTGGATGGGCCACTGGTCTGATCCAGCATTGGCTTCGCTGATGTTCTTATGTCTGGGGCAAGGAATGCTCTGTATTCTTGGTGCTTGGAGAGGGGGGGCAACAGTGGGAGGGGGCTCCTAGTGTCCCCGCCCCACTGGTGGACCTCCTGATGGCCCCTGGTATTTTTGGCCACTGTGTGACACAGAGTGTTGGACTGGATGGGCCACTGGTCTGATCCAGCATTGGCTTCGCTGATGTTCTTATGTCTGGGGCAAGGGATGCTCTGTATTCTTGGTGCTTGGAGAGGGGGGGCAACAGTGGGAGGGGGCTCCTAGTGTCCCGGCCCCACTGGTGGACCTCCTGATGGCACTGGTATTTCTGGCCACTGTGTGACACAGAGTGTTGGACTGGATGGGCCATTGGCCTGATCCAACATTGGCTTCGCTGATGTTCTTATGTCTGGGGCAAGGGATGCTCTGTCTTCTTGGTGCTTGGAGAGGGGGGGCAACAGTGGGAGGGGGCTTCTAGTGTCCTGGCCCCACTGGTGGACCTCCTGATGGCACTGGTATTTCTGGCCACTGTGTGACAGTGTTGGACTGGATGGGCCATTGGCCTGATCCAACACGGGCTTCTCTTATGCTCTTATGAATTACAGTAGTCTAGTCTAGAGGTGACCAGTGCATGGATTACTGCGGCCAGGTCAGGGCGCAACGGGAAAGGAGCCAGTTGCTGGGCTTGGCAAAGATGGAGAAATGCCAGCCCGGTAACATGAATGACTTGGGCCTTCATTGATAAGGAGGCTGGAAGCCTGGACTCCAGTCTCGAGGAGCCCCGCCCACCAGCCACAGAACCACCCTCCGCATGAACGACATCAATCCTAAACTGTGGTGCCCCAAACTAAGTTATCCATGGATCAGGGCTCTTTTTGTAGAAAAAGCCCAGCAGGAACTCATTAGCATAATAGGCCACACCCAACAGAAAACCTCATTAGCATATTAGGCCACACCCCTGACAGCACAGCTTATTGGCATATTAGGCCACACCCCCGCGTTACCAGAAGTTTGGTCATCCAGCCACACCCACCTTTCCCTTCTTATTCTGTTTACCTTGTTTGTTGTCAAAACCCAGGGCCATTTTTTGTAGCAGGAACTCCTTTGCATGTTAGGCCACACAGCCCTACTGTAGCCAATCCTAATGAGTTTCTGCTGTTGGGTGTGGCCTATTATGCTAATGAGTTCCTGCTGGGAGTGGCCAACTCGGGAGCCAGACGGAACTCCGTTCCCGTGTGTTCCTGCCCCAAAATAGCCCTGCATGGAGTCTAGCCTACAAGTGGTGAGCAGGGGGTATCCAGCTTTCAGAAAAAGTGGATTCTCAATAAAAGTGGTTGAATATGCATTTTTCTGTCGGCTTGTGCTTTGTAGAGGCCGGTTCTGAGGACTGCAACCCACTGAACATGAGCATAGAAGCGGAAATGGCCATCGAACAGATGAAAGATCAACACCACCGGGATCTCTGCAACCTTCGGCAGGAGCTGGAAAACAGGGTAAGCTGCCTCCCTTGGAACTGGAAGCCTGAAGACAGACCAGACAGAGGATGATATCCACAGGGATAAACAGACTTAAAAGGGGATTGGACAGATGCGTGGGGGATACGTCCATCAGTGGCTACTAGCCATGTTGACTTTGTGTTCATTGGCATGAATACCAGTGCCAAGAGGCAACATCAGGGGAAGGCCTAAGCCTCTATGCCCTGTTGTTGGCACTCCAGAGGAACTGGTTGGCCCCTGTGTGAGACAGGATGCTGGACTAGATGGACCCTCACTGGTCTGATCCAGCAGGGCTCTTCTGATGTTCTCATGAAAGCCTTGGCCTCTCTGCCCTGTTCTTGGCCATCCAGAGGAACTGGTTGGCCCCTGTGTGAGACAGGATGCTGGACTACATGGACCCTCACTGGTCTGATCCAGCAGGGCTCTTCTGATGTTCTAATGAAGGCCTTAGCCTGTGTGAGACAGGAGGCTGGACTAGAAGGCCCTCAGCTTCTTGTCTGAGCAAAGTCTCAAACCTGGGGCTCCCTGGCCCATGTTCAGTGCTCCACCCACTACAGATCACTGCCAGTAATTTAATAAAGAACAAAATAAGTTTCTGGTTATTTTGAACTGTTGCTGATGAAAGGAACTTGTAAATATAACTGGCAAAACTTGGTGTCACAAACAGTCTGTCAAACTCCCAAAACTCCACTCTGGCAGTCGTAGACACTCAGTCTAATCTCTCTCTCTCTCATCTATATAGCCACACCGGCTGAACTCTTTGTCTTATTCACACAGAATAGACTCAAAAACTACCATGGTCACACAGACTATGTTCTCTCTTCACACACAGAATTACCTCATAGACACCCCTCCTTCCACACTCTCAGTCATCAGCCAATCACATCACACTTGTCTCCCTCTATTACTCTTCTCATATTACTGCAGTCAAACTAAACTTTTAAAGAAACACACACACCAAAAATGGAATCATTACACACAGAATAGCGAATAAGTAAGGAGGGCTTTCTGAAAGCACTTGGCGGGTGCCAGGAATGGTGTCCACAGGGGTCCACGAGCACCCTTTTGGGGACTCCTGCTCTGATAGGTTCTCCTATTTCCTTGCCTGCCATACAACAAGGTTGCCCAAGGTCTTTGTGAGCTGGGAACCTGCAGAGGTGCTAAGCCAGGGTCCTTTCCTTCTCTCAATTCAGATCCACCACTACGGGAAGCAGCTGGAGGAGACCCAGAACCACTGCGAGGAGGAGAAGGTGCACCTTCAGCAGAAGTTCTGCCAGGAGATGCTGAGCAGGCAGCAGCAAGTCGACGACCTCCAAGCCCAAGTTTCTGACCTCCAGGCAGAGCTGGCCCGGCTCAGGCAGAGGGCCGGCCCAGAACAGAGGGAGGTGCAGTTGGGCGTGGAGGAGACGGTCAGCGGCCAGGAGGCCCTGAGGCTCCAACATGGCGAGGAGCTCCAGGCCTGGCTGGAAGAGACCCGTGAGAGTTTCAGCCGAGAGCGGGAGGAGCTGATACAGGCCGGCGTTTGGATGGAGGCCAAAATGAGATCGATGGCGCAGACCGTCCAAGAAGAGAAAGCCGAGCTGGAGCGTGGGTTCTGCAAGCAGCTGCAGTTGCTGGCGGAGCGGCACGCCCTGGAGAAGGAGCAGATCCAGCGAGAACTGGCAGAGAAGCACCAGCAGGAGCTCCAGGAAGAGAGGTTGGCATCAGGGGGCATTTTACAGCGAGCATCTTTAAGTCTGTCCTATCAAGAAAGACCCTTAATTGGGTTTAACTATCTTACAAGGGACTTCTAGAACTTGGGGGAGAGGGGAATTGGGGATCTACAGAAATTTCAGCACTCTCAGTAGATGCGGCGGCGGCAGAGCTAGGAAGCCCAGATACGTTTATCACGTATTATCATGGAAACCTTTTATCCTCTTGTGGTGTAGCACACCAGCTTTCTGGTTGCTTCCCATCTGGCAGAAGGGAAGAGTAAATGAGTCTCATCTGTCTTTATTGCGGCCATTATTTAATATTTTCCCTGCTGCTCTTCCCAGGCAATGCGAGTGGTGTGTTATCAACCAGCAGCCCGATAAATGCTGCTCGTTCAAAAGTGCTCTTGGCCGAGATCACAGGAGAGCAGCGTTGCAGTACTAACTAATAGCAAGGTGCTTTGAGTGCTAGTTAGCATCAAAATTACTAGTAAGATGGGATGGCGGAGCTGGCATTAGTGATAATACTCGTTTGGCATTTCTACGGCAAGTTCGGGTGTTAAAGAAGCATTTTACAAACAGTATTGCAATAAAACAGTCCTGCGAGGCCAGCGCAGAACGACAGGAAGGGAGTGGGAGAGCAGCTTCACCTAGCCAGTGTGTATAGATAGGAGGTGAGGTTTGAACGAGGGGCCTTGACAGCACATGCCTTGCTCACCGCAATCCGCTAGACAGCTTTGGGGACCGAGTGTACTGCATAAGAATCCACCGCATCCCCCTTATTACTGTGCGGAGGCAACTCTAATGTAGACAGAGTGTGGAAGCCCCAAGGGCTCTCTGTGCATTTTAACTCCGAGTAGGACCTTCAGAAGATTGTTCCAATCTGAACAGATCCTTTCCCCTTTCATGAATGTGTTTCTGATGGGAAATGTTGGGTGAAAAATGATCAAGGAAGCAAATCCTGAGTTCTGTTAAATTGTTGGTCTTCAGTTGGTGAAACATAGAACTAAAACGTTGGAAGGGAACATCCGGTCCAACCCGCTACACCATGAAGGATGATCTAGAGTGTCCCTGACCACTAAATGTCCAGTCTCTGCTTAAACACCTTCAAGGAAGGTCATCCCTGGGTCTCCGATTCCACCACTGAACAGCCCTTATTATTAAAAAGTTTTTCCGGATATCCCACCAATATCTCTCCACATGTAATTTAAATCCTTTATTACAAGTCCTCTCCTCCACTACCAATTGAAATTGCACCCTAGAATCATAGAATCACAGAGTTGGAAGGGGCCATATAAGCCATCTAGTCCAACCCCCTGCTCAATGCAGGACCAGCCTAGAGCATCCCCAACAAGTGTTTGTCCAGCCAAGGTTGTGTCCCGCCCCCTTTTTAAAACCGGCCGGGGGGGGGGGGAGCTCACCACCTCCCTAGGCAGCCGATTCTACTGTGGCACAACTCTGACTGTCAAAACGTTTTTCCTAGTATCCAGCCGGTACCTTCCCGCCCTTAATTTAAACCCATCCTTTGCTGCCAAGAGGAACAGCTCTCTGCCCTCCTCTAAGGGACAGCCCTTCAAATACTTCAAGAGAGCAATCATGTCCCCCCTCAACCTCCTCTTCTCCAGACTGAACATTCTCAAGGACCTCAGCCTTTCCTCCTAGGGCTTCTTGGTCTCCGACCCCCGGATCATCCTTATCACTCTCCTCTGCACCCTGCCCTCCCGTAAATGATAGCCCGTCAAATATTTAAAAACACTTTAAAAGGACTGTGAACCACAAATGGTTTGGAGCCCTAGACCAATCTGGACCACTGTTGGAGGAGGGGAGGAAGAAGACAAGGTTAAAAGCGTGGAAGTGGGCTTCATGTTCGTGGTGGTGGTGGGGTTTCTAGAAGAGGCCCTAAGTCTGAAAAAGCTGAGGACTAGTGTCTTCAGAGACCTGTGCTCCTCTGTTCCTGAGTCAGCAGCGATTTCAGTAACTTGTTGTGTTGACCATGTTTAGGATAAAAATGGAAAGTGAGTTTAATGGAAGACTCTCTCGGGCTGAGGAGCAGTTCACCGTCGACCGGCAGGCCCTTGTGAGCAAATATGGGGAGGCAGTCAAAAACCTGGAAGAACGCTACCAGCAAGAGTTGCAAGAGCTTTCCAAGCTGCGAGACGAGGAGAAATCGCAATGGGAATTTGAAAAGGAGGAACTTATCCAGGACGGTGCAGAGGCCCGGGAGAGATGGAAAGAGGTACTCGAGAAAGAGAAGGCTCTTTCATCAGTGCTGGCCCAAGAGAAAGAGCTTCTGGAGAAGAATTTCAAGGAGCGTGTGAACTCGTTGACAATGGAGAAGGAGCAGCTTCAGAAGGAGATCTGGGAGGTGAAGAAGCAGGAGAACGAGTTACGGGGTCGGCTCTTACAAGTTCAAGCTGGTCACCAGAAGGAGCTGAGGGAGAGGGAAGAAGAAATTGCTGCTGTCGAGGCGAGTCGGAAGCAAGTCGGCCAAAAGCTTGAAGAGCTGGAGATGGAATTTTTGCACGAGAGGGAAGAACTGAGTTCCAGACTGGCTGCTCTTGAGCATTCGAAGGAAGAGGCAGTTATCCGAGCTTCAGAGGAAGAACGAGAGCTGAGGTCAGAAGTCTCAAAGCTTGAAAGCAGAGTAGAAGAACTGCAGCGGGAGTTGGTTCGCCTGTCCGAACTGCAGAGTAATTGTGTCCTCCCAAGCCAACGTGCAGAAATTGGGGGCGGTGATTCTCCAGGGATAACCCAGGAGACAAGAGATGGGCGAGATGATCCTCCAGACCTGCAGAGGGTCCAAGATCCAGCAGGAGCTGGAGAGACAGCAGCAGTGTCAGCAATGGGAAACTTCCCGTACGAGCCAGAAGAGCACGTTCATTCTCCAGCTTTCAGCCCACTCACTCCAGAAATATTCGCGGAATCTCAGCTCCTGAATCCAACAGACGACGACAATGATGAAGAACGAAGAAAAGATGAAATGGAAGAGGGAGATCCAAGTGGGCATCCTGTCACAGAAACTGAGACGGCAACCTCTGGAGAAATGACGGAGACGTGTTCCGACTTAAAAAAGGCCTATGAAGAAGTTCGGTCAGAGAACGAGACCCTCAAGCTCCAGAAACGGCAGCTTCAAGAGAGGATCTGTCTCCTGGAGATGGAATGCGAGCAAGCGGCTCTCGATCGGCAAGACATGGCTTCTCAGGTCCAGAGAGAACTGGATGAGATCCTTCAGGCAATCCCCAGGCCCAAGACGTTGCTCTGCGGAGATGACGAGAGTGAAGAAAGATCCTGTTGGGAGGAAACGGATGTTGCGCAAAATCATCCTGACTGCACAGCAGAAAACCAGAGGTTCTCTGCTGACGAGTCCGAGCCTGGCTTGAGTGTCGAGGAGGTGAGCGAGTATTCCTTGCAGTTTTGGAAGGACCACGGTGAAGCCATTAAAGAGGGGGAGCTGAAAACAGAGTGTGACGCGAGCAACAGAGCCCAGGTCAAAGTCCTCGCATTGTCCGAAGGGCTCCAGCTGGAAAACCAAGTTCTGAAAGACGAGGTGGTGAACCTGTTTGAGCGGAACAGCAAGCTGGAGAGCTACTTGCCGCGGCTGATAGGCCTGCAGCACAGGTTAGAGGAAAGCAGCCGAGCCAGCCTCAAATGGGAGCTGGAGAAGCAGCAGCTCCAGGAGAAAGTGATGGAGCTGGAAGAGGCGTGGGACCGGATGGCGGCGGAAAACCGGGAACTGCAGAGCACAAATCTGCGCTTGCACAGCCAGCTTGGAAAGCGGGAAGAGTTTATGGTGACCCTGAAGGCCCTGAAAGGGAGACCCGGCTTATGCGCGGAGGGCGCCAAAGAGGCAGAAGTGGAGAAGAGGGGACTCCAGGAACTGAACTGGAAGCTGAAGGAGAGAGTGGCTGCACTGCTCAAACAAAATGGCACACACACCCAGGAGAAGGACCACTTGAACGCGGCACTGCGCGGCTTGCAGTGCGCCTGCGGGGAGCAGCAGCAGCAGCTGGAGCACTGGAGGTAAAGGGGGGCCCCGCCACGGCCTAACCTCAGCCACTCGGCTCTGCTTCTTGGCACTAACCCCCTAGCCCTTTGCTGGCAGCCTCCTAACGGCTCCTACTGACTTCCTCTTGCTTCTTGTATTAACAAATAGATTAACCTGGGCTAGAAGATGACGCCTTCTTGGATTCTCTTTAACTGTCCTCTCTTGGAGACCCATCACTTTTAACAAGGGCTCGGCAACTCTGCAGCTTGAGATCTGGGTTGGGGAGCGGGGAGAGGGGGTTATGGGCATGTTTTTAATGGTCGACGAGGGTGATTTGTCTGGTCAACTGCAGGGAAAACGCGCTTGAATGCTTCCGAATGATTGGGCTGCTACTTCTGTATGATCACTTCTGTGGCTCTTTTCTCTCCCTTCCCTCCTCCAGCCTCACTTGGGTCTTCTTGTCTTCAGTGCACCTCAGTCCAATCAGTAACACCACAACGTTTCATTTACGTTTTCCTCGCTGTCTCATCCAGCCTCATCTCAAGCATCTAAATATCTGCCATATTTAGAAATAAAGTAGAAGCCAAAAATGAGAGATCACGGAAGTGGAAATCCCAACAACAACATCCGTGACAAAAGTAACGAAGAGCCAATAAAGATATGTTGCAAAATCATTTACTGTAGTAATTCTGTAGAAAATTCTCTTCTACTATCGGTCACATGCTGACGAATGCTGCGCAATGTAAACAATTTGTTTCACAATATTGGCTTTATCTGAGCGTGTAGCAATCACAATTCTTATCAATTACTACCTATCAACTCTTGAAGAAAACATTCCATGTTGACTCTCTAATAACTGAACCCAAGGTCTTCACAATGGGTTTTCTACAGAATTACTACAGTAAATGATTTTGCAACATGTCTTTATTGACTCTTTGTTATTTTTGTCACGGATGTTGTTTTTGGATTTCCATATTAGGAAATCCTAGGTCAGTTTAAAGGGTAAGTCCCGGGAGAACTGCTGGGTCAGACTAGTGGCCCATCTAGTCCAGCATCCCATCTCACACGGTGGTTGGCCACATGGTGTTTCCATGGAAGATGCTCTGAGGCTTCTCATTATAGAATAATAGAATCATAGAGTTGGAAGGGACCTCCAGGGTCATCTAGTCCAACCCCCTGCACAGTGCAGGAAATTTCCAAATACCTCTCCATACACACACACCCATTCACCCCTGTTCCACACCCAGAAGATGAGAAAAAACCTCCAGGATCTCCAGCCAAACTGGCCTGGAGAAAAATTGCTTCCTGACCCCAAAGTGGCGATCAGCATTTCCCTGGCCATGTTCAGAAAGGGCCACAAGAACTAAGCCCTGAGGCAGCCCTTCCTGCCTTCCCTCTCACGATGTGTCTAAGTTCACAGGATCAGCATTGCTGTCAGATGGCCATCTAAGCCTCTGTTTGAAAACCTCTAAAGGAGAGCCCACCACCTCCCGAGGAAGCCTGTTCCACTGAGGAACCGCTCCGACTGTCAGGAAGTTCATCCTAATGTTTAGCCAAAAACACTTCTGATTTAATTTCAACCCGTTGGTTCTGGTCTGACCTTCTGGGGCAACAGAAAACAACTCCGCACCATCCTCTATTGGACAGATGTGCCAATGTGAAGAAGAGTCATTCAAAGTAGAGAGTTAGGGTGGGGGTTAGAATTTTCTCTTACTTTTTTTTGCCACCAAGTTCAGATGATTTCTAGCGACCCCTAGTGGGGCTTGAAGGCCAGGAACGTTCCAAGGTGGCTTGCCATCGCCTGACTCTGCGTCATGACCCTGGTATTCCTTGGAGGCCTCCCGTCCAAATACTAGCCAGGGCCGGCCCCGCTTCGCTTCCGAGATCTGACGAGATCAGGCTGGCCTGGGCTATCCAGGTCAGGACAAAGTAGAAAGTTTAAAAACAGCTCGGCGTCGATCATAAATATCGAGCCGTTTGGTGCACAGAGCGGGGCTGGATGAATTCTCGGGAATTTAAGTCCCACGACATTTCCGTGTTTTTGCGCCGCAGGTGTGAGGCTGAGAGCCTCAGAGAAGAAAACGCCATTTTAAGGAAAGAAATCAGTTTGTTGCATGAGGAAGGGAATCTTTCAGGCCTGAGACTGAGGGAACTGAATGGCTCTCGAGAATTCCGGTAAGTCTCTCCAGGGGTCATTTCGTAGAAAAAGAGGTGCAGGGGGCTCATTAGCATGGCTCATTAGCATAACTTATTTGAATATGCCACACCCCCTGACATCACCAGAAGTGTGTCAGAAGGCAACACCCACCGCTCAGGCTCCACTGGGCTGTTTTGGATTGCTA